ATATATTCATTTTCTTTTTAATATTCTGCACACTTTGTTGGACATAAACATGTATATATATATTTATATATAGTACATATATTATATATAAATATATATAAAGTTAAAAATATAAATATATATATATATATATATATATATATCTCCAAGAATAGTAACAGAAACGTAAGTTAACAATCTACATATATATATATGTGTGTATAACTTTGACATCGGATACCAAAACCAATAAAACCACTGAATCAATAAAATTTCGCAAGTATCTGAATGGTCATGTAAAGTGACAAAACAACACTACAAAGTGACAGAACAATATGGCACTCTACAGAAAAAAAAAACGGACAGTGATTTCAAAATTGATATTGCAACAGTAACACATAACAAGAGGTATAACCAATTTATGGATTTACAAAGGGATAATTAAGTTTACCTTGGTTCTTTTTAGAACAGAAAAATGAAAACTTGAGAGGTTTAGAAAGCACCCAAATCTTCAACAATGGGTTATCCTTCAACAAAACTAAAGCTTTAATGGATGGGTGGTGTTTCAATGAATGAGAGGAAGAAAAAAAATGGAATCTTTAGAGAAGAAGGCTAGGACTCCAAGAACTCTAAGGGAAGCCACACTCAGCCGCTGCTTTTCTTTCAAAAACAAACACCTAGGGTTTTGTGCCCAACTATTGTATTTATAGGCCACTTAAGGGTTAAAACACACAGTATTAGCTTTAATTGCTACGCTTAGTATTTTAATCCCAAACTCTGGATTCATAACCTACTCAATTTTACAAGAATTGTCATATTTTTATTATATTTTTCTGAGCACCTTTCCGGTACGCGTTTTTCATAGCCAGTATCAGTTTCTGGCATCAATTCTCATTATTTTGACTTGAAACTCGTTTTACAAGTCCTATATCTTATTCTAGTAATTATCATGCACTTATATTAATTTTCCGGGATACTTTTTCGGTACGCATTTATACCGACTAGCAGAACCAGTATCTGCACTTTTCTTCCGAAAAGCGACTTTCAGCATTCTTAATCACTTATTATGATTATTAAGCCTCATAATTAATTATTAGGGTCAATTATGGAATCATTTCCTATTTTTGCATAATTAATTAATTTAAATATCTTAATTAACGGTGCGGGTTCTTACACTCAAGAGCTAATCCATTCAATGAGGAAAAAGAGAGGATCTAAAGGTTGGATGGCGATCAAGGTTGATCTTGAGAAAGCATACGATAGGATCAGTTGGAATTTCCTTCAGGATACCCTATATGATGTAGGGCTTCCTGAAAATTTGATAAGACTAATTATGTTGTGTGTTTCATCTTGCACTATGAATGTTCTTTGGAATGGGTCTTGTACTAAAGAATTTCGGCCAACTAGAGGCTTAAGACAAGGAGATCCTCTTTCTCCTTATCTTTTTGTCCTCTGCATGGAAAGACTAGCCCATCTCATTTCCCAGGCAGTGGATCACAGGAGGTGGAAGCCAGTGAGGATTAAAAGGGGAGCTCCACAAATTTCCCACTTATTTTTTGCTGACGATCTCCTTTTGTTTGCAGAAGCTTCTCAGGAGCAAGTGTTAATAATTCAACAGGCCTTACATATATTTTGTGATTCATCTGGTCAAAAAGTCAATCATAGTAAGACTAGAGTTTTCTTTTCTCAGAATATGGGTCATACTCAAGCAAACCATCTTAGTGGGCTTCTTGGTTTTTCTTTGACTGCGGATCTTGGAAGATACTTGGGAATTCCTTTGCATCATAAGCGAGTGGGTCGGTCATCTTTCTCTTATGTTTTGGATCGAATGAATTCTAGAATTGCTGCTTGGAATCATGCCAGTCTATCTCTAGCAGGTCGTGTTACATTATCTAAAGCAGTGTTATTAGCAATCCCATCATATCCAATGCAGGTGTGTTCATTGCCGCAAGTCACCTGTGAAGAGATTGATAGGAAGATTCGAAATTTTGTTTGGGGTTCATCTCCACACTCTAGACGTTCTCATCTTGTGTCCTGGAAGCAGATTTGCATGGATAAAAAAAATGGAGGCCTTGGACTGCGGAGTATGAGGGAAATGAACTCAGCATTTATCATGAAGGTTGGGTTCAACCTCGTAGCTCATCCAGATGCCTTGTGGTCAAAGTTCTTACGTGCTAAGTACAATGTGGAGGCAAGCATGACACCAATTATTCATGCTCCAAACAACAGCTCCCAGCTTTGGAAGGGAATTACGCGTCATTGGAATATTATAATGGATCATAGTCGGGTGCAGTTAGGCAATGGTCAGTCCACTATGTTCTGGCTTGATAGCTGGCTGCCCGATTGTGGTCCTTTGATCTCATATGCAGGTTCTCAGTTTTCTATTAGTGATACTCTTCAGAAGGTGGTGGACTACGTGGATGAATTGGGGCAATGGAAATGGAATTCTCTTCGACAATTGCTTCCAGATTCTGTGCTGCATCGATTTATGAATTTTCTTCCTCCTTCTAGTCAAGATGGCCAGGATCATTTAATTTGGAATGGAACGACAGATGGCAAGTTTACTGTTAAGTCAGCATATGCAATATTAGCCATCAAAGATACTACAATCCAACAGTTTCCTTGGGAAAGTGTTTGGAGATGGCAGGGGCCAGAAAGAATTCGCTTTTTTCTTTGGTTAATGGCAGGGGAGAAGCTGATGACTAATGTTTGTAGACTCCGCCGCCATATGGCTCTTTCAGATCTGTGTCCTAGATGTAATCAGTCTAGTGAAACTATCCTTCATACTATTCGCGACTGTCCACAATCAAAGGAAGTATGGTGCATGATAATGCCTCATATAAATCAGCGTGAATTTTTCAACCTCAACCTGCACAATTGGATCATTTCTAATTTAGACAGCTCAAAGGATTGGGGGATGGGGTCGGACTGGCCTCTTTTATTTGGAATCTTAGCCTGGAAAATTTGGAAATGTAGGAATTCTTGGGTTTTTGAAGGTGATCGCCAGAATGCTTATTCACTTATCCGTTCAGCAATTGGTTTCAGAGATAGTGTCGCTCTTGCAGCTAACCCTGTTTTTGGAGCGGGCAATCAACCAAGGAATCGAATAGAGAGATTGGTTGCTTGGTGTTGTCCTCCTGTGGATTGGGTTAAGCTTAATGTTGATGGTGCATGTGATGCTAATGGTACTAGGACTGGGTGTGGAGGAGTTTTTCGAGATGCCTCAGGAACTTGGATCGTCGGATTCTGTAAAAATTTAGGCTCAGGTACAGTTTTGCATGCTGAGTTATGGGCTTGCTTGGTTGGTTTGGAGCTAGCTTGGGATAGAGGTTTTAGGCAAGTTTGGCTCGAAGGAGATTCTCTTTCAGCTCAACAGCTCATTACAAATGGGTGCCACCATGATTACCCTGCGGCTAATTTGGTGAATCGTATTCGAAATTTGATGCAGCGAGATTGGCAGATTTATATGTCTCACATTCACCGTGAAGGAAATAGAGTAGCGGACTTTCTAGCCTCTTACTCTTATGGTTTCTCTTGGGTAATTCAGGAATTTGATTGTCCACCGTCAGGTTGTATTGATAGTCTGTATGGTGACACTATAGGTGTTCACTGGTCTAGGTTTTGTGCCTAGTTTCTTTTTGTTGTGTTTTTGTTTTAATTTCCTATTATTTCCAAAAAAAGGATTCCTCTAACATGAGGAAAAAGGAACCAATTAATTATACAATCAAAGTTCACCTTTTAAGATTTTCCTCTTAACTCCCTCTTAATACAATAAATTTCACCTAATCAATTAGTTGAAACTAATTAACTATAGATGAATGTTGATAAAAGTGATTTTACTTTTCATTATTTTTTCACCAGTTCATTAATTACCTTATTAATCTGTTTGGAGTTAGACAGAACAACAAGAGCCAACTTGAGACCACTCCACGTGTTTGGTGGTAAAAAATAATCTTATTTTGACTTACTTTCATTGTAAATACATTTTCACTATGGTAAAATTATATAACATAAATAAATAAAATTTACAATCCGCTTTGAACTACAAAACTTTGATACTTAATTTGTTTATAAATGAGATTATTTATTTAAAACTTTATAAAATATTAACTGAATTGATAATGAAATCCTTTAGTTGTTTATATACATGTAGCGACCAGCTCCAATACAGTCAAGTAAAGTTTATTTTTAATTATTCAAATTAATGAAAATTTTCATATCATTATTTTTTAAATAAGGAGAAGTATAATAAAGAGAAATTACTTAGGTTCTTTAACATGTTGTAAATATTTAAATTGTTTTATAAATCAATTTTAATTTTAAACTAATTTTTATCTTTAGTTATAAAATAGGAGTTAAATATAAAAATTAATTTCTAAATCAGATTAAAGTAATGAACTTCCAAACAAAAAATTAACATTTTCAGAAAGACATAGTGCTCTGAGTTCAGTTGGATTATTGTTTTAGATTAGAAGCGTAGAACTTGGGCTACATGCTTTAAAACAAAATATAGTTGGCTTTTATTCACAACATAAGCCCACTAAAGACCCATCAAAAGTCCCAAAAAAAAACAAAACGAAAAAGAAAAGAAGTTCAGCTAAGCGCTCCAACCGCCATGCCGGCGCGTGCATATCCCTTCCGAGCACTGGTCAGCACAGTCGCCGTCCAATCGGAACGTAGACGTCACGCGCCACATCTCCGCCTACGAAAACTTTTCAAATTTTTGCAAACGGAACTCCGCGCCACAAAAGCCTCTCTCCCTTCCAGTCCCGCGTCAGCAACACAGCCCTACCTCTGTGGCCCCTAATTGGTGCGTGCATGACACGCACTAAAACATCGAGTGAGTCCGCGTCCCCAAAATTTTGTGCTATAATGGTTCCCGGGCAGAGCTCTGTGGTGCACCCCCACACGCACCCCGGTCCACTGTTCCGCAAACGAACCCACCGTTGCCGTACACCTGTGACGCGATAAGAGGATATCCCATTTTTAGAGAGAAAGACACACAGAGAGAGAGAGAGAGAGAAAGACCAAGAGTTCTAGAGAGAGAAAGTGCGAGATCTGAATCGAAACAAAAGGTAACGAAGTTCGAAACCCTACTCTCTGTGCTTCGGGAGCCTCGAAGCTCGCTTTCTTCGTTTTCCTTCTCTGTCGATTCGCGTCTGGTTCTTCTATTTCTTTGCACTAGAGAGGTAAAAGGCCTATAAGTTCTAGGCTCTTCTTCTCTCTCTGTGTTTCGTTCGTTTCCTGGACTGTAAAACCCTAGGTTCGGTTTCTAGGGTTTGGAGTTGGTGTTCGGTGAAGGTTGAAGTTTGAGGGAAAAAGAATTAGGGTTTTGAATGTATGGCTTCGGGGCCTGTAGTTGGAGATGATGGAGCTAGAGAGAAACAGAGGTACGTGGAGCGCAAGGTGTACACCAGAAAAGCGTTTAAAGGTCCGAAGAACAAAGGTAACACTGTGAACGCCGTGAACGCCGTTCCTCCTCCTCCTCTTTCTCTTCCTCACTCCGCAACTACTACCTCCGATAACAACAACAACAACAACACCGCCTCCTCCGTCACCGCGGTCAAAAATAACGGTAACCACACCGCCAACAGTAATAACGGTAACGATAACAGAACCATCGAAAACCGTTACGACGAAGCCAAGGGTAATGGCAATAACGGTTCGGCTCAGCCGTCGCGTGTTACTGTGCCTGAGGATGGGATATCGGATCGGTTGCAACTGAATTCGCGGTTGGATGTGGTTTCCAATGACTCGTCCGGTTTGAACCGTCGGCTGGATGAACCTTCGAGCCTCAGTGTTCAGCAGGATGATGCTCCTGGCACGCGAGACCCGCCTCCTGGGAATTGTGCTGCAAAGCCGGGGTCGGAGAATCGGGTTAGATTCAGCTTGGCCTTACGGTCGAAGCAGGAGATACGGGAGCTGAGGAGGAAGCTTGAGAGCGAGCTTGACATGGTGAGAAATTGGATGAATAGGATTGAAGAGAAGCAGGTGGTGGTTGGTGGGTATGGTAATTCAACTGTTTTGGTGGATCATGGGATTGATAATAGGTTTGGGGCAAAGCGTGCTCACTCGGTGGTAGCATCTGCTGGTGTTACACGAGAGGTTACCAGGCCTTTGCAACAGTTAAGTGTGTCAGTGTTAGAGCATAGTCATGGGGTTAGTGAGAATGTTGAGAAGGAGAAGAGAACGCCTAAGGCAAATCAGTTCTATCGTAATTCTGAGTTCTTGCTTGGGAAAGATAAGTTTCCACCTGCAGAGAGTAACAAGAAGTCAAAATTGAATGGGAAGAAGCATGGCGGAGGAGAAATGGGACATGGACTTGGGATGGGATCCAAGTATTTCAAGAGCTGTAGCTCATTGCTTGAAAAGTTGATGAAACACAAGCATGGTTGGGTGTTTAATACTCCAGTCGATGTAGAGGGTCTTGGTTTGCATGATTATTTTACAATCATCGCACATCCAATGGACTTGGGTACTGTGAAGTCAAGGCTGAACAAGAATTGGTACAAATCATCTAAGGAGTTTGCAGAGGATGTGAGACTTACATTTCATAACGCCATGACATATAATCCTAAAGGGCAAGACGTTCATGTAATGGCAGAGCAGCTATCAAAGTTATTTGAGGAAAGATGGGCTATAATAGAGTCAAATTACAACCATGAGATGAGATATGGCATAGATTATGGGGCAGTTATCCCTGCACCTTCACCTTTATCTAGAAAGACTCCGGCATTTCGTCCACCACCTCTTGATATGAAACGGATTTTGGATAGGTCAGAATCAATGACACAACCTCCAAAACCTGTGAACATTACTCCTTCAGCTCGTACCCCTGCTCCAAAAAAGCCAAAGGCAAAAGATCCTCTTAAAAGGGACATGACATACGAGGAAAAGCAAAAACTTAGCACCAACCTTCAGAATCTACCTTCTGAGAAGCTAGATGCAATTGTACAGATCATTAAGAAGAGAAATTCAGCACTTTCCCAACATGATGATGAAATTGAGGTGGACATTGAAAGTGTGGATGCTGAAACTCTCTGGGAGCTTGATAGATTTGTGACCAACTATAAGAAAAGTTTGAGCAAACACAAGAGGAAGGCTGAACTTGCTATTCAAGCCAGATCACAAGCTGAGCAGAATGCACACCAGAAGGTAAAGTTATCAATTTTAACTTCTAATAGCCAGTGTCTTCTTTGGCAAACAATCATTGCTAAATGCATTTATTTCATGCTTCCTGTAGAGCCAGGCACCAGTTATGGTTGATGTTTCAAAAGAAAAACAAGCAGGTAATTTTGTAAATGGTGGCATTTGGACTATTGTTGATCTCAATTATTGAATTAATTAAATATCTTGTCTGCCTTTTTGTTAGCAGATGAAAGAAATGTTCCCCCATCCTTGCCTGTGCAAGGGGAAATTCAAGTAAATAATGGGAACAAGTCAAGTAGTTCAAGCAGCTCAAGCAGTGATTCTGGCTCTACTTCAAGTGGTACTTTGATTAGTTACTGAGTTAACAAATATCTTTCCCATTATTTATGCTTATGTATGTTCACTACTGCTTATCATTTTAGTCAAATGTTCTGTCTCATTTTTGTGTTTTTGCAGATTCTGATAGTGATAGTTCCTCAGCGTCTGGGTCCGGTGCAGGTTCACGAAGAACCTGAATACATTCTGTCAGGTGCAATCTCAACCTCCAAAGTTTTATCTTGCTATTTGTTCTGCTTTTTGTCTAGTATGCTTTCTGCATCATATTCTCTGTACTTCTGTCTTTCGTTTAATAGATGGACCTATGTATCTTTCAAGCTGACTTTTTTCTTTAACTATAACTTATGTTTGTGTTGCTCATATACCATGAGTTGTGTGGCTGAGTGCATTTCTGGTGCCCCTGGCTTGTCATTTATTGTTTATAAACCCATTCAAGCTGAATGACCAGTGTATGTCTGTATGTTGAAAGAGTCAGACCGTCATGCATTACAGATTTAAAAATTAATTTCATTTATGAAATTGAATACTCGTCCAAAATGTGTGGAGATATGTATCTCTCGTTTAATAGATGGACTTATGTATCTCCCAAGCTGACTTTTTTCTTTAACTAACTTATGATTGTGTTGCTCATATACCATGAGATGTGTGGCTGAGTGTGTTTCTGGTGTCCCTGGCTTGTTGTTTATTGTCTATAAACCCATTCAAGCTGAATGACCCGTGTATGTCTGTATGTTGAAAATGTAAGACAGTCATGCATTAAAGATTTAAAAATTAAGATTCATTTATGAAATTGAACACTCGTCCAAAATGGTATTTAGTGGCCAGTGGTCAGTGTTGCAATGTAGTTCTGTCTTTAGACTCTTCGCATTTAGTGCAATTTTAGCAGGAAATATTTCAGGCCATTTTCCGTAAAATTTGACAACTATTCGATTGCTCGTTCTTCCTCTTTTGTTCTTAGTTGTTAAACCGTGGCATTGTAGTCCCTTTGAAGACATGTCCTTTTAAGGTCTCAAAAGTGAAAAGCATACCCTTTTACTTGACTACATCCACTATAGTTTCATATCAGAGCCTAGCAGTTAGATAGATATTAATTTTTGTTTTCACGCCGTATATGGATGTTTAATTTTCTTTTATATTGTTATATTTTTCTATCTTCTCTTTGCTGTGAGTATGTTTTCAGCGTTAAAGGTTTTATTGAAGAAAAAAAAATTGCATGCTGATTTTCTTGCTAAATTTGTTGAACTTATTCAACCAATCATATTATTGGATAGGAGTAATTAAGGTTTCCTTCTCTCGCACTCTATCTCTCTCTCTCTCTCGTTTCCTTCCCCTTCTAGTTCTCAGTACTACTCATGTTACTTTGGTCTTGTTACTTGGCTTCTATTAAATAATCTGGTGAGTTGAGGAAAAAGGTTTTCAGGTTAACTAGGTTGTGTTTTTCGGGTATGTTTGGATGTACCGATGGAGGAGTTTGTAGGGGGAGGGGATTTTTGCATTAAATCATTTTAAATAAATTTTTCTTTATTTGAGAGTTTTTAAAATGAGAGCAAAAATTATGATATAAGCTTCCAATCATCCGTTATCCATTTTTAAAACATATTGTATTTCTCTAAATTTTATAAGAATAACAGAAATTAACAGTCCACGGTCCACTTCCTTCCCCTCTAAACTATTCCGTCAATGGGCAGGTGTTTTTCTAATAGTTGGATCACATTATGCATTTTATGTTATTTAGTTAAGCATTCAATTACTTGTTTTTCATTTCTTATTGGCCTTTATCATGATATGATTCCTTTACTAATTTGTTTTGTTTTATTGTGTAATTTTCTCATTTGCCTTTACTTGTGTTCTGTACCTATGATTTCTTTCTGTTTGTTGTCTGTTCATGTGTGAGTCTACCCCTTGCTGCGACGGATAGGTTGATTGGCATTTTTCTTCTGCTGTTTTTGTTTGTCGTACAAACTTTTATTTGTTAATAAAATGAGTGAAATTTTCTGGCTATTTGAATGCCTTTGTCACATGAGAGTCTCTTGTGTGAGAGGGGCTAATTACAAGTGGTAACTAAACCAAGTCAGTATATATTCTATTTGGATTCCAAAGTACGCTGATTTGGACTTTTCACTCTAGGAGTAGAAGAATGTTGCTTTAGGGTGCCATGTTGATGGAGGTGCAACATAGTTGTCTGATGTAAGTGTATTTAGTGTTCAGATTATAAAGATTAGTGAAATTTAAAGTTTAATACTATGAAAATTGAACAAACCAAAAGTACATGTGTGCTTGCTACTGATCAGACTGTCTGAATATTGATCATAGAAATTAGGAAGTGTGAATACTGCTTACTTTTTTCCCCATTTGTTGTTTCATTTCATGTGGCAGATGTCAGATATTTAGATTAGATAGTGATGCGATGCTTGGCTAGTTGGTTTTTTTCAAGCTTCCAGATTATGGTATGAATGTCGCAATTGGTTTAAAGTGGAAGCATTCTCAAGGCTGCCTGTGATCCTGCTCTTCCAGATTATGGCATCTTTTTGTCTTATTTGTCCGAACTGTTGCTCCATTGCTCTTCACGGGCCTTATTTATGATGACACGAATTCTTGTATAATATTTGGTAGAATGTGATGATAATTAGATAGTTTAGTTCTCCGTAGCAGTGTACATTGCTAACTACTGCTACTCTAATTAAGTTCCATTGATGTCTTGTTTTTATTTTGTGATGGCAGATTCAGGTTTCTTGGTGTTATACAAAGATAATCTGTAATTCCAAGTTCTTGAAGTCATTATTGGTTCTCATGAAATGTCCATATGGTAGCATGAGTTTGATTAGTAATGTTATAAGGGGCATTGGGGATGTTACTTGATTTCTATTAAGGAACATCTATTTAATCTCTGGTTTTGAGAGATCTGATCCTCTGCAATTCAGTTGTGGGTATAAGTTAATTATCTTTCCAGGCTATCATTTCAGGTGTGGAGATTAGCCTACAGTTGTACAGTCAAGGATATGTTTAGCCCTAGATTTTGGGTATGCATATAGAAGTTTCTTTTATGACGTCTTGCAATTAGAGTGGATTCTTCCACGGAGGCACGAGCAACTATGTTTAGGAATTATAATTTTATTTCATTGATCCAGCTATGACACCCTCGTTTCCTTGATAACAATTAGAAGGATATCCCTAAGGGGGCGTTTGGTTCCAAGCTTTTGGTCAGAATCCTATACAAACGAAATATAGTTTTCAGTTTCACGACGTTTGTTTCATCAGATTTTTACCAAATTCCCATCAATGTCATTTGCATGGGTTTTTAAACTTTTGATCAGAAAGAAAGCATTTCGTACTGTTGAGAAAGCGAATGTGAGGATGGTTTTTTTGAAAAACCCGGACAATGCACTGTTCACACAATTTTTTGACTCGAATTATGCCCTCCTGGATGATAAGATATTTTCTTATTTGCTATGGTCAGAAGCTGGCGTTGGTCACTGCACTTTAGAAGCGTGGGTTGAAGAGGAGGATTGCACACGGCCTTCTCGGAAGAAAACGCCCTTGCACGGTGGTTTAGATCAGAAGGTTTGCTTCCATCATTTTACTCATTTCTCTCTTCCATTATTTCCCTTCCTCATCCGCAATGCATCTTGACTTTAGATCAGAAGGTTATTTCTTTCTTCTTCTCGTCTGATCTTTCTATTGGTATTGGCTCGTGGGTTCTGAATTTTTTTTTTGATTTTTTTGTTCCAGATTTTCTGAGATTTCATTGTTGTTGGGTTGAAAGTGTGGTTTTTTGTGGCATAGTAATCCGATTTCATCAAAGCATGTATATGTTTTTATTTTTTTGGATAGCATTTTTTCCGTTTTTTTCACTTGTATTGCCTGATTTCTGTAAATAGAATGGTACCATTACATGATTCTCAATATAATCACTTTCTGATATATGAAAGATACCAGAACATGGTACCATTACAGATTTGTGTATTCTTTCTCCCGAAAATGCCATCTTGAATTCTAGCTATTAACCAACTTGACTTCAGCAATGGCTTGTTGAATTATTACCCAGGGTGCTAGTTCCTTGATTTGTAGGTTTCACAATTTGTATGAGCTGAAAAAGATGGATTGAAACCACAACCATCCTCTATTGAAGTCAACACATTAGAGTAGAAATAGATGGATTAGTGTTTTACCAATTTTGAATTTGGAAAACGTCACCTACCCCCAACAGTCAAAGTAAAAGTTAGCTCACTATAGAGCCAAATTAATTAGCAGTTGGTCAAACAGAGCAACATCCTCTACCTATTAGCTCACATTCTTATAGAGATTTAGCTCAACTTTGAATATTTATTTGGTAGAAGAATACATAATTATGACTTTTATAGCTAGTCAAAAAAAATAATAGCGTGCAATAATCTATGCCTTCAATTTACTTGGTAGTTTCTCTCTCACTCTATTTGTTATTTAATTTACATGTGAATGGGACTTTTTTTTTAGATATGACAATTAAATTTTTAATCCTTTCATTGCCATAAGTCTCGTATGCAGACTTGTCAATCATGATCACTGCAAATAGGCATGTTGTTTAACTTATCAATGATACATTTGTGTAGAATTAAATACACTATTTTGTATTTAATTGTTTTTTTATTATTGATATTAATATTTACAGTTAAGAGTGGTTTCAATATTACAATGTTATAGACATTTATTATAAAATTTTAAAAGGGTCATCATTTGTCGGCTAGAGCTATTCGATGAAGTGGTTGTTTTATAAAACAGACTAAATTGGTAAAGTATATGATTGCTCATACACCTATACCACTGTATAAGTTTTGTTGTTACGGTAATGCAGTAAAGGCGTAAGATCATATTATTTTTTTTGGTTATTATAAAAAGATCATGTTACGCAATGTATAGTTCCTTATCTTCAATACTATGGGTAAGACATTTATTTTTTTTGGTTATTACTTAACTGAATCTTTTTGTCCTTCACGTGATAGATAATGGACATCGACAATGGAATGGACTTAAGTGTGTTACTCGTACTCATTACTCATTTGGAGTCTTTGCATCAACTGACTAACATGTTTGTCAGTATATGTGCTGTTTTGTTACGCATTGCTGAAAACCGTAGAAATAGACGCAAGAGAGTCTCATTGGACCATCGTGAGAGGGCTAGAGTAAGGGAAGTAAACTTCCTTAGGATTGTTCACATAAGTGACACGGCGTGTATAGAGAATACAAGGATGGACCGGAGGTCTTTTCATAACTTGTGTGGGTTGCTTAAAACCGTTGGTCAACTTCAACCGACGCAGTATATGGGTGTAGAGGAGACGGTTGCAATATTTCTTCACATTTTGGCTCACGATGTCAAGAACAGGATAATTAAAAGACAATTCATGAGATCAGGAGAAACTATTAGTAGGCAGTTCTCTAATGTTTTGCTTGCAGTGTTACGTTGTCATAATGTTCTACTAAAACGACCTGAGCCAATCCCGGAAAACTCGACCGATGATAAGTGGAAGTGGTTCAAGGTAAGTTACTAGTGCAGGTACTGTTATAATTCATGAACCTAGCCTGTGTCGGTGTAACTAATAGTCTAAATTGAATTGTAGAATTGTTTGGGGGCACTTGATAGGACACACATAAAGATTAACCCCTTACAAGCGGATAAGGCCAGATACCGGACTAGAAAGGGTGAGATAGCAACTAATGTTTTAGGGGTTTGTTCTCAAGATGGTCAGTTTATTTTCGTCTTGCCTGGTTGGGAGGGATCAGCTGCAGATTCTAGGGTTCTAAGAGATGTCATCAGTCGTCCAGACGGTTTGAAGGTTCCGAAAGGTATAACCTATGAGAGAGAGTAGTTGTTTATTTATTCTAGGTCAGTTTATTTACTTACTACATGACATATTTTGATATAAGTTTACTGTAACTTGTTTTGAAGGATATTATTACCTATGTGATGCTGGTTACATGAATGACGAAGGTTTCCTTACGCCATATAGAGGACAACGATATCATCTCAATGAATGGAGGCACGGTGCCCAACCAAGGACAGCCCAAGAATTTTTTAATATGAAACATTCGTCTGCGTGGAATGTCATTGAACGTTGCTTCGGCATGCTTAAGGGGCGTTGGGCAATTGTACGATCGAAGTCATTTTATCCCGTTAAAACGCAATGCAGGATTATAAGCGCATGTTGCTTGCTTCATAACCATATCAGGAGAGAGATGGTAGTGGACCCTTTGGAAGCTGAACAAGATGATATGCAACATGTTGAAGATAACATGGGAGGACCTGATTTGATTACTCATGTTGAGTCATCTAATGCATGGACACTGCGGAGGGATGAAATGGCACAAAACATGTTTAACACCTGGAGGAATCGTGTTTGAATTTCAACATAGATGAACCAATCTGTTTTCTATTTCTTTGGGACGTTTCCATTTTCATGTTATGTACACTTTAAGCTATTTGCGTTTATGTTGTAATAATGGATACTTTGACAAACTATAGTGGCCTTGTACTGTATTTATTGAATTTTCGTTTGTTTATATGTTAAGGGTAGTTTATGCATTTCGAGTGTTACTTATTGATACCTTGTTTATTTTATGGCATACTGCGGAGGGATGTAATGAACAAGTATACTGATATTGACATGGTTTATGGCAGGTACACTCTTGGTGGACTGGAATTATGACCGAGGAAAGCCAGACTTTCAGAAACAAAAAAAATCACACATGGACTGCCGAGGAAGATAAGACTTTGGTCGAATGTATGACTGAAATTGCTGGTCTTTGGAGAGGTGAGAACGGGTTCAAACAAGGCTTCTCTAATGCAATAGAGAGGATGATGCATCAAAAGATCCCTGGTTGTGATCTTCAGGCTATCCCTCATATCACCTCGAGGGTCAAGTTGTTGAAAAAACAGTACAATGCTATTTGTGAAATGACCGGAGGTTCTGGTGGGAGTGGCTTCGGTTGGAATGACGCGAAGAAAATGATTGACGTCGAGAAGGCAATATTTGATGATTGGATTAAGGTGAAAGTTTGAAGTTATTTATTTAATTGTTCATTTTATGTATTGTTTTATTTTTGCATTCAGTGTTTAACTGGCCTGTTTATCCACAGTCTCACCATGCTGCAAAGGGCTTTTACAACAAGCATTTCCCGTACTTTGATATTTTGGGAACCATATTTGGCAAGGATGCAGCAACCGGAGGTAATGCAGAGACAATGGGACAATCGGTCAATGTCATGGAGTCAGATACGGCATGCAATGCAGAGAGTGTGAATGCATTTGACGACTATCTACACCACACGGGGGACTACATACCCACCCCATTAGAAGATCCAGTCATACCAGAAGTCCCAATTGAAGAAATTGTGCCGCCCTCATATGTGTCTAATGCTACTGTCAAGAAAGGAAAGAAACGTGACAGACCAGAAGATCCTTTGGTTGCTCCAATAGTTGATGTAATGAAAGATATAAATCAAAACTATCGTGAGGGTATTGACAAGCTGGTATCATGCTTTCAACATCAAGCTAATGGGAGTAAAAGGCGAATGTCAATTATGGAAGAGCTGGGAAAAATTGGAGATCTGACTGATTCACAGATGGTGAAACTTGCGGTGCATTTGGGAAAGGATACAACGTTGACAGATGTCTTCATGCAATGCAATGATCAGCAAAGGAAGTGTCTCCTGGCTGACTTGCTGAGTAATTCCCTATGGACTGATATGATTTTTTTTTATGCGTTTTTTGTATATAGCGCATGGCTTGGTTATGGTCCTTTTTGGCGTGGACAGGTTTAGGCTTGGTAAAGTGTTAATAGTTTTGGATAGCCCTAACGAATGACAGCAAATGATGGACTCAGATTGCACAATATGACATTGGTAATGTTTTTTTGGATGTGGATCCTATGTCATGTATGCAATTTGAAATGTTTGAAGTCATGAACACAGCTGGTAATAAGAGGACCAACTCAGGATGTTTGTACTAAGGAAACATTAACTTATATGTATGGTAAGTGTACCAATAGACAGCACAGGGTTATGAAATTAATTGTTTTTGTACTTAGTATTGTTGTGTTATGTAACACCTGGTAGTAAACAATTAGGTAATATAATGTTGGTTGTATGTGGCTATTTTTATGCAGGTGACAAGTTGGTATTGTAATGCAGAGGCATAGCTGATGGAAGGAACTGGTGTGTGAAGACCATGATTCTGATAGCATTCTTAGTCTATTATTTAAATCGCAAGATATGCAGCTTGTGTAAATGGATAGTGGTTGTAACTGTAACAGATGTAAACCACATATGGAAGTTGATGTGTTTATTCGTGTATATGTTACAGCTGGGAGTTTTTTTTGTGTAAGGCAGTTCATTGATTCCATGTGACCATTTGCAAATACTAATTTCAATGTAAACCATGTTATTTATCTCTTCAATTGTCTGTCACATTATGTAAAAGTGATGGAAATCTTTTCAGATTATTTAAATCTTGGCTACATGACATATATAACAAGTTACAGTATAAAACCACAATGAATTTGACAAGCAACTTAATAAATGAAATTCACGTCTGCAGAAGTGGCCCTCAAGCATTTTTACCACGTATTGATCAGCATCCATTACTCAAATAATAAATAATAAATGAGGTTGTGATAAGGACCAACTCAGGAAACAATGAACAGAAATTACTCAAGTAAATAAATCTGAATCTTCTTCATTCATATATTGATCAGCCTCCATTACAACACAACTTCCATTACAGTCAAGGGATAATGGAAATTAACAAGTTACAATATAAGTGTTACATAGTTGTGGAACACATGAGAGGTTCCACCATCTCCCAATCCCAAAAGACCCAATAATCTACTAATTTCCAGATGACCCCTTTCTTGACTACCCCCCCTATATATAACAAACTCCATGTCACTCCTGATCCCCAAACCAAAGAGGGTTTATATCAGCTTCCAAGATTTAAAACTGCTGCCATGTGTGTCAATGGGATAGCTACCAATGCAAATGAGACACTGTTGACAGCATACCCACCAATTGCCATATATATATAAGTTTCAGAGTTTGCAAACAACTTCTCCTCCAGTGCCAATTGATCAATAGCCATGATAGTGGTTATCCTTTCCAGGGGATGAATCAGATGAGCCATAAAAACTTTCAGAAAAAGAGTTTGGATGGGCACTGTTAGACTCGGTAGCAACATTGGATGCAGTATTTGCTTTTTGCAAGTACGACCAGGAACTTGCTCCAGAAGATAGAGCATGTGGGGTCAACCTTAGCACAGCATATGTGAATACATTTATGGTGTCATCCTGACAAAAGAATCAATAGTCAAGGTTAATAAGTAACTTAATGAATGACCAAACAACTTTCTCATTCAAATTTGGTCATAAAACAAAAAACATAATTGTACACGAAAGTTAAACATACAGGAGATAGTGTCGTAGACACCAACAGGTCTTGCAATAAAATCAGAGAGTAGCAGGCATTATTTCCAGTAGAAGATTCGAGCATCCTGACAAGTGACTGCCAAAAGAAGAAGAAATCAACAAAAATGGTTTTCCACTAACAAGCTAAACTTGTTTCTTTTACATAAAAATAGTTGTAAGATAGTTATAGATTATGTGGACACTGGATCCAAAGTGTGAGATGAAAATGCATAAACATTTAAAGATTGGAGCACGTAAAAAGTACAAAATCACTTACAAATACATACATTACATGCAAATAATAACGCAAATTTCATCTTAATCAATTAACCATTGATGAGCAATAACAGCTTTCCTACAACAGCTAAATCATAAATTAACAATTTCATAGACATGCTCTCATATGATGACTTACCCCTTAGATAATCCATGATAAAGGAATACAAATGACGTCTTATTAGTCCTCCACCAGGTTCTTTCTCCAGCATTGCTCTTAATACATCCATGAAACATTACAAAAAGTGAGTGAATTTCCTTGAGAACTTTTCTTAATGCATCATCTCTCCATATAGGTTCTGAATCATTGCATTTCTCCACTACCTACAATGCAATAACTGCATATATATTAAAGGCAATTACACACAGGATATCCAATAAATCGAAAGAAATAAGTGACAGACCATGACGATCCATATATCAGGTTCGGCCTCATAAAAAACATGAGAATGTCTTTCTGCTTCCATGACCTTTGAGACGCTGATAAACTAGTTCAACATTCTGAATTAACCCCTTCTTCACAAATTGTCCAAGAAAAGGAATTATAAGAATTCTAAATTGAAGCTTGTAGCAGTCTATACATTCAGCTAGAATACTGTGCACAGATTCATCAGAATAATGAAACCATGTGAAATAGTCCTATGTGAAAACCTCCAGTGGCAGGAAATGGCAATGTGAATAAAAAAGCAGAAAACTTAATGGGATTTGGATTCAACCCTCCAAGTCTCCAACTATCCAAAAAAAAAAAAAAATGAAATATCAATCAAGCATAATTTGCAAATGTCCAAAATCTAGCACTAAGGAACATGCAAGTGAAACTCACAATCAACTAAACAATAGCAGGAGAAGAAGAGTAAGAAGAAGAAGTTTCCATGGTTGCATACCTATGAAAACAGAGACCAAAGAGTACCCAGAAAGAGACTTTGGACAAAGAGAAACACTGTATTACATGGTTGCTGGTACGGCTGTTCCACCAAACAACAATTTCCACCCACTCATAGCAATAAATCTCAATCTTTTTAGTGAAATAATAATTATTATAAATACTAAAACATAGAAAATAAAATAATGATGTTGTGTTGAGGCAAGAAAGAAAGTCACCCTTGTCAAATTTTCCATCATTATTGTTATCAAATAGCACAAAAAGCTTATGAACCTACAAGTAGCAAGTTAACAATCATGACTGAAACAGTAATTACTTTGTGAATTCTTTAGCAAATTACATTCCCAAAAAATTTAAGTCAGATCAAAGCTGCAGCTAACATGTCAGCCATTGCTGCATGAACAGTATTAATAAATACAGCCAATTTCTACAACAACTGAAACAGTAATTACAAAGCCAAGCCACTGTGTAATGCAAGTTGCAATCAGTACACAATTTAGAACCCTACATCAAAAAATAACTTGTGACGGGCCACAACAAGAAGGCAACATATAAACCAACTAACAGTTCCACAGAAGGTACATAAAGACCCTAAACATATATTAAACATAACCTTAGACATGGTGGGGTCACAAAATATACAAGCAAGTCATAACCCTATAACAACTTGGAAATAAACTTGACATGTAGCATCAACATGCAGTTTCAACTCAACCGCATATTATCGTTTTCCACATAATTATCCCAAACGTTATGACCATTACCATTACCAAAACAACTAGTAGTTTATTCATATTTTATTCTTCACGGCAAGTGGATTCTTCCATCCATTCAAAGAAATGACAATCTTGCATTGTCCTGAAGTTAGGGCAGCCAAAAAACTGTCTTATGGGATTCTTTTTAGTAGTAGACATTCGCAACGCAGCCGGAACTCCACAATAGCACATCTTTGTCCTTGATGTGTATAACGATGAAGAATGCATCGAATTTATGTTGTCAGACCCACCAATTCCAGATCCATTTCCACCCATGCTTCCTTCAGATAATGGTCTTCTCCTTTACAAACTCCTCTAATCGGTAGACTGCGGACATATTTACAAAAAAATCACACAATGACAGTCAGATAATAGCAATGTATGCAACCCACTTAGTAAACTATAATTTCCCCTGGACCCACTTGCAATAGTTGTCATTAGGGACCAATAAATTACCAATTCGATTCAACCCTTTTGAGCGCAGATAGGCTCCAGGTACAGAGAAATCTCCTTTATACGTTGGTGCAAGGCACTTTATAAGATCTTCTTCAATGCCACCTGTAGTTGTAACAACTACATCAACCTACAGAATAGATGCAACAAAATTAAGAACATGACTAGAATAACTTGAATTTAATAATGAACAAATATTTGCTTTAGCCACTTACTTTTCAATGGATTAATTACAAACTATCATTGTTTCACAAAAGCCATCACGAAGTTCAAATATATATCTAATAAAGGGATATTTCAAGAAAAAATAAATGCGATGGTCAGCACCATAGTGATGGGCAATCTCACCTCACAATCTTTTCATGCTCGATCCACATACTATGAAAAACTTAGTAATGATAAAATATAGAGTTATACACCAACTAAAATACCCTTTTCACTTCTAAAAATTATATTTTTCATCCTCAATACAGCAAAACATAAGTTACTACGTCAATGGCTAAAAATAAAATCTGAAAAAAAAATTAGGAAAGCAAGTTTATGGAAACTCACCATGTGATGCTGGACAAGATACCGAACAGTATCTCTAACACCAGAGGAGATGAGATTAGAAGTAAAACCCAGAAACACAGCCAAAAAATGGAGTGATGAGAAGCAACTCCAACCCTAACTTCCAGGACCGATCCACTCCACAACACAGTCGTGATGTCCAAGTGCGCTCGTGGGTTTAGGACACAGTCAACTTGCTCAAGCCGACGAGAAGAAAGAGTACCCTGGTCGACGAGTTCAAATGGTGACGAAAATGTAACTGATGGTGAATATCGATCGAGGACAAATGGCATACGGCTGTTTGTTTGTTTAAGATAAGGGTATGGGGATAAAATCGTAATTTTATATCATTTACCTATCTATATTTTTTCCAAAACCAAACATAGAATTTCAAAATTTTCATTTGATTTCCTGGTAAAATTTTATCCAACCAAACTACTTTTTTTTACATTTTCCTATCTATCTCACTTTATCTCACTTTCTTACCATTTCCCTATCAATTCAATTTCTCTAGTATTCTAAAAATTTCTCCTCAACCAAACGCCCCCTAAAACTTTTTATTGTAATAAAACAATTGGAAACAGAACAGTGATCATACTTGGCATTGGTTTACCATGCACTGTGCACCATGTTTCCCTCATTGTTCAATGTGAATATGTGACCTTAAAATGGTGTTCAATAATAAAATTATTATTAATACATTTTATGGGTGAAGTCAAGAATTGATAACGTTGAAATTTACTGGAGGATTAAATTTCAACAAATACTAAGAATTTGAGGAAATTTTGGTATTTTAAGTCATAAGAAGATG